AGCTGACCTTGGAATCAGTGAGAACTAGGTTCAAATACAGCCTCTGAAACATCCTGGCTGTGCAACCCTGCAGCTTCTCAGGCCTTGGGCAGCTCTCTAAGACACTAAGTTAAGGAAAAGGTGCCACCTGCATTGGTGAAGAATCTCCTCCTTGGGGAGCTTCCTATATCAAAGAAGTCGTGGGCCTAGTCCCTACCCTGACATTTGAAAAAGAGGTCTGTTGTCCCAAAAACAGGAACAAGAGAAAATATAATGATATTTAATGGCATGGAGACACTCCTAGAAAATACAAATCAAAGTCAAGATGGCGGCATAAGCGTTGGCAAAGCAGCAACTAAAGAAGGAAACTCCAATGGCCTTGAGGCCTTCATCACTCCAGGAGTGGGCAGAGCCTGTGTTTCCTCACTTGTAACATGGGTATAATATGTTTCTTATTTTATTTTATTTATTTTTTTGTGTGAGGCACTTGGGGTTAAGTGACTTGCCCAGAGTCACACAGCTAGGAAGTGTCAAGTATTTGGTCTGAGGCCAGATTTGAACTCAGGTCCTCCTGATTCCAGGGCCGATGCTCTATCCACTGCGCCACCCAGCTGCCCCTAACATGGGGATAATATGAACACCTACCCCTCAGGGTTGTCAGGAGGATTAAATGAGACAAAAGAGACAGAACACTTTGCACTCTTTAAAATCCTATATAAGTATTAGCTATTGTTATTATTTTTAATCAGTGGACTCGGTCCTCTGGAAAAAATTAAGAAAGTGTCATCACCGTGTTTCAGTAAGTTGCATTAGGAAAGTTCTAAGAATTATCAAGATTAAAAGACAAGTTAGGAGGCGCTTTGGGTTAATGGATATAAAGTTGGCCTTGGAATCAGGATGTCCTTGGTTCAGGCCCCACATTTCATACTACTGGCTGTGTGACACTGGACAAGTCACTTACATTCTCAACATCCAGGCACCTATCTAAGGCAATCAGTCAGAGAATGGCTTCTGAACTGGGTCGGACAAGCTCCTCACCACATGTTCCCTGCAATATCAGTCACAAAAGGAGCAGAAGGTAGGGGCAGGAAATGGGCAGATACCATTGGGCAGAATCAAATGCAGGCAGTAAGGAATATCAAATTGAACTTACCAAAATAATGGTCAAATTCCAAACAATGGCACCAATAAATAAGTAATTATACCAACATCTAAGAAGAGCCCTACCAATCCAAGAACACTTATTCAAATCTCAAAGGATGATTCATCTGAGACAAAAGATAGGAAAAATGGTCATGTTGCTATATTGAAAATCAAGGGAAATTTAGTGGAACCCCAACATGATCTGGCTAGATAAACTATAATATTTGAAGGCAAATCATTCAGTTCTCAAGAACTTGTCCAAGATTTCCTGTGGAAGGAGGCAAGTCCCCCTCAGGTCTTTGATATCAACAATTAAAGGAATCCTGACCTGTCTACGACCTTAATAGTCAAATCATGAATGAATTTCAACAATGTTAAATACTGTATAGATTTTTTAAAATCACTAAATGGAGATAGAAAGCTTGACTGGGAGTCAGGAAGACCTGGGTTCAAATCCAGCCTCAGACACATAATAGCTCTTCAACTCTGAGTGAGTCACTTAGTTCCTCTCTGTTTTAGTTTCCTCATCAGCAAAATGAAGATAATAACAGCACCTACCTCCCAGGGCTATGATGAGGGGCAAAGGAGATAATATATGTAAAGCACTTTGCCAACCTTAAAGCATTAAATAAATGTTAGATATTATTATTGTTGTTGATTATTGTTACTCCGTGGGGTTAGCAAACAGTTGAATCTCAGTTATCCCAAGAGGTAGGGTAGTAGAGTGGGTAGGGGATCTCAGAATGGCAGAAGTGGATAGAATGAATGGATACCTCACCACTAGAACTATTAGAAGCAGACATCAAGGCAACAGTGGCCTGGAGTCCATTAATGAACTCCTCATGACCCACTTTGAGTGAAAACAAGTTGGGAGCAAGTTTCCTTTCATTGGTAATCAGCAGTTCCAAATGGGCTTTGGGTTGGAGTGCGGTGTGTGAGTAAATGAAGAAATATACAACATAGCAGAAATATATATGCCTACTCACTAGGAAGAGGAACAAGACCTGGAGTGAGCCATGGGAGTTCAATGGTATGGAAGTCCTGGATGAGAATACTCCCTCTCTTGACACAGGTTGGCATCTCCTTTGTAAGGTATAATCTTAGAAAGTTGTCTAGAGAGTAGTGATTGATTAGGTGGCCTGCCTAGGGTCACATAGCCAGGATGTATGAGAAGTAGGATTTGGACTCAGTCATTCCTGGCACTAAAGACTATTTTCTCCCCACTCTGCTATGGTGTTTCTTAATAACGTAACAAAACAATAACAAATATTTTCCTTAAAATGTCATCTCTTGAGTTGATGCAGTGGAGAGGAAGGGGAGTGTGGTCATTCCAGAGTAATATAGCTACATAGGAAAAAGGGAGTTGGGGTAGAATAAAACCATTGAAAAATGGATTGAGGTAGTAAAAATTAGGAACTGTATTTAAGTGTGTGTGTGTGTGTGTGTGTGTGTGTGTGTGTGTGTGTGTGTGTGTGTGTGTGTATCTGTATCTAAGGGGAGAGAATTTGGGGCTGGGTGGTATATGACTGTTGATGTATAAAAATGAGGAAAGCACCAGAGAAGGGGGGAAATGTTTTAAGAATTTCTAATTTAAAAAAAAATCTAATATTCAAATCTTTGGAATCCATTATTGTATAAACATAGATGTCATTTTCCAATACAAAAAAAAAACACATAATCTCTGATAACCAGAGAATTTCAAGTTAAAAGTCAGTCAAAAGATTATTAAACATTTATTAAGTGCCTACTATATGCCAGACATTGGACTAAGCCCTGGGGATACAATGGAAAGGCCAACAAAACAAAACAAAACAATCTCTGCTTACTAGGAACTCTTTGTCTTACGGGAAACTGCCAATTCATACCTTATTTCCTTTAAGTGGGGCAACGAATAAAAAGACTAAATAATTGGTGGTGGTGTAGCTGCAGTTAAATGGATCTGTTCATCCTGGCAGTGGTGGCCCTGGTGACTGTTTGAGAAAGCTATAGAAATGATATTACAATAGTTAAGGAAATATTCATATCCTGTGATTCAAGGGTGCCCCCCATGGGACCATATCTTCAGAAAATTTTGCCAGGAAGAAAAGACTTATTTATACAAGGAGTAGAGAAGGAAAGACTCCTTGAGGGGTCTTCAAGGTAGGGCTATATGGGACTCCCTGACTGGTCCATTATTGAGGGTATTTTTGTATGGGTGTGAACTGGACTAGAGCAGGGATTTAAGTCCTTAGCCTGATGAAGTCTATGGGCTCCTTCTCAGAATCGTGGTTTTAAATGCATAAACAAAAATGCAAAAGGTTACAAAGGAATCTGTACTATTTAAATACAGTTATGGCAATATTATTGAAATCAAGTTTAGGGACTCCAGGTTAAGCACCACTACAAGAGAAGGTTTATGTGGTCCCTTCACTCTGAAATTCTGTGATTTTCTGAAGATGAAGAAAGCAGTAATACTTCCCAGCTTTGTCCCCTAAGTGTCAAGAGGACAAAAATGATATTGTGAGGTCCTAGGTGGTGAGAATAATGAATCCTGTGAAGTGGTCACATTATTTGAATTTGCACTGCATATTTCCACTGGGCTGGAACCAATTACCATATTTTACTTAATTATAACTTCAAAGAGTTTGAATTCAAAGACATGCAACCACTTCACAGGATTCATTATTCGCACTAATAGGAACCTGGCTGTATTATATGGTAAGAACTTTGATAGAGTAGGATGCAAATTCATGACATCCTCCATTTTTTTTTTTTTATAGAGGCATCAATCCAGGTGGTGCAGTGGATAAGGCACTGGGTCTGGCTAGAGTTAGGAAGACCTGAGTTCAAATGTGGCCTCAGACACTTACTAGCTGTGTGACCCCGGGCAAACCAATTAATCCTATTTGCCTCAGTTCCTCATTTGTAAAATGAGGTGAAGAAGGAAATGGCAAACCACTCCAGTATCTCTGCCAAGATTTGAGGTATCCAAATAGAGTTACAAAGAGTTGGACATGACTGAAAACAACTGAACAACAACATAAGACTAAATGTGCTCCCCTCAAACTGTTGGCTCTGTACCAGCCAATAAGTTGATCTCATCTCCTTGTGTTATTGGGGGGTCTTTAGACACTTCTGAAATTAATAGGTACTGTGAACCGTTTAGGTAAACTCCTCCTTGGCTGATTTCCTTTCCAACGTAATGAGATGAGATATAATTTCTTAGCTGATCAAAGGATAAAAGTTTAAGTTGGATGTTAAGTAATGGCCCAATGTGACAAATGCTATGAAAGAGAAATAACAGATGTAGGCCAACAAACTCCCTCCGCTTTGCTTCATTCTTTCTTTTCCCTTAATAAATATAGCTCCCTAATGTGGTTCTGTCATGATCACAACAGCTAAAAGTGATCAGCACAGAATGAACTCTTTCTTGATTGTCTTTGAGAGATGGTCCAGTGACTTCATCTCCATTGGCTATTTTTTTCTAAGTGTAATGGTGTTCTCCTTGTTGTCTCATTACTTCACTCTGTTTACATGTGTAATTGTGTGCCTTGTTCTAGCATTGTATCATCTCAGGTTCTGAGACTCACTTCCCTTGCTCATGGTTGATTGTGAAATGTGGCCTTTGGGACCTGAGCACTGCCATGGATAGAATGTCCCAAGGAAAAGGGAATTTACAGATACAAATGCATCGCCTGGAATAGGCCCTCTTCCAAAGTGTTGCAAAACTATCATTGGACTGTTTTTTTTTTTTTGCGTTGATTTCGATTTGACTTAAAGTCATAACTTGTGAATGGGGAACCAACAGAGTACCGTAGACACTCAGGCCATTACCAAGACTCTGTTTCCGTAGTCTTCCCCCGGCTCATGGAACTCTTCCCCCTTTCTGTTCCGCACAGACCCAGAACAGAATGAAGTTGATGGCTGACAATTACGACGAAGACCATCACCATTACCATCATCATCACCACCATCACCATCACCGGTCTCCTGGGAGGTCCCAGCATTCCAACCACAGACCCTCTCCAGACCAGGTCAGTTACATCATCCCTTACCTTGAGCATCCCTTTTGCCCTTTAGATACTCCAAGAGAAAATAAATACTCCTTGAGAAATAATAAACAGCACAAAGTGATATGTTCTTTGAACTGAAACTAATAGCTTTGGTATTTATTTCCATCACTCAGAGAATCTAAATGTTTTCCTTTCTCTTTCCTCTTTGGGTTTTTGTCTTTTATTGTTTATATTATGCTTCCCCCCCCCACCTTGTTCTCTTTTTTCAAATTCATTTCCCCCCTTTTTGATTCCTAAGTATACCACTAATTTGATAACTGAAAGGGAAGAATCCTTTACGATACCCATTTCATTGAATTTCCAGAGAAGTTAATTTTTAACAATGTCCAAGACAATACAAATGTCCTCAGCAATACAAATTAATTTTGGTGCAAACCAATCAGACCTTAAAACAGAAAATCAGACAGTGTCCAAGATTCCAGTTTATTTCTTCTGGACAAATATGATCTTGATTTTCTAAGCAAAGTGAATGAAAAGTAACATTGTAAAATAAAAAATCTATCTAGAAAAACTTTCTTTTAAAAATAAAGAAAAAACCCTCTCATCATGTTAAATGCCTTTCAAATTTGCCCACAGAATGGGGCTTGCTTATGTTTTTGTTTTTGTTTTGCAATTAGCCACGTTAAAAGCAGAATGTCACGAGAAGATCAAAGGAAATGCAAATCAACACAATAACTTTGCTGATGTTAGCCCCTTTCATTTCATTCTTGATTCTCATGCATTGGAGGCAGCCATAGTGCAGTAAGAAATATCATTGCCTTTGGACACAGGATGCTTGGCTTCAAATTCTATTTACTAGCTTTGTGACTTTGGACAAGCCAGTATTTTCCCAAACCTCCATTTCCTCATTTGCAAAATAGAGGGTGTGGACAAGACTGACTTTAAGGGCCTTCCAGCTACTGAGTGCTGTAATTCCATGAAACAGGGTTGTATAGACAGCTTTTCAGTGGTTGTTCTGAGATTGACTGAGCTAATTAATGTAAACAACTTTTGAAAATAGAATGTCATATTAATGCCCATTATTATTAACTTGGTTCTATACCTGTCCCTTGAATGTTTCACTTTGGGTTCGATTATACCCTTTATTAATTTCTATCATACATACCATGGTTGGCCAACAGGTAGTTAATAGGTGACTCAAACTATGGCCCCCAGGAGAGAGCTCAGACCATTTGACTTGTTACTTAAACAGCAAGGCCTGTTTCCTTTCAGGAGTGATGGGCCCTTGCTGTGCTCATGATCCCATCCCCAAGAAGCACCCCATTCCCCCAATCCATTATTGCTGAAGACTGACTAAATATGATTAAATCACTACCACTCAGTTAAAAGTAATTTCATGTGGAATGGAAGCTCTTTGAAGGGAAAAGATAATTTCATTTCTGCCTTTGTACCTTGCATATAATATTTGATGAATTGAATGGAATTGAATTAAAAGGTGAAAGGTAAAGGAAGTAAAAAATCTGGGCTCCCACTAACATTCAAAGAGTCCTCACCCCACCACACTCAGGAGCTCTCCTGCCCCTCCCCACCACACCCCTGCCCCAACATGGATGACCTCTCCTTGGGAGACCCCCAGATATGCACAAATAACTCAAGCAGAGAGTCACCCACGCATTTGAAATTTTTAATGCATAAGTAAGGAAGATGTTTACTCACTTTTTTGGTACAGTTATAAAAATTTTAAATTAAATTTTAAGTTGTGTTTTTATGGTAAGATCTAATAAGAAACTGAGGAAAACTTTTTTTAAATTCATTGTTTTCTCCATCTGAAAGTATTTTGGTGTGTGTATGCACATGCCCATCCTCCATGCTCCTCAAAGCCCTCTTTCCTGATAGGTGTTTCATTCATAGCTCAGGTCTGATTTTTCTGTATTTCAGAACTTCTTCCCCCATCCCCTACTTTCCCAAAGTCTCGTCTGTGCCTCACCATAGGACAATTCATGACTGGGCTCAAATACAGAAAGCAAATGGCACACACCAGGGGCCATTGTAATAAAGGGGGATTCCAGGGCATCAGCTTTACCTTATGGGGGTCATGAGACTCAGTAACTCAGAAGAAGAAGTCAGCATGGCCCATGGGAGCCATAGTTCTGTTGTCCAGTCACCCATAGCTTATCTGCATTTTGGAGAAGAGATGGCTGCAGTGTTGGTTTTCTACATCTGGACTGTCAGTCAAAGCATTGTGGGAAAAGCAGCCAATTGGGCAGCAGAGGGCATGGGTCCAGCCCTTGGCTCTGCCAAGTGCCATCTTGGTCAAGACATCTCACTCTCCGGGCCTCAGTTTATTCATCTCTAAAATGTGAGGGTCAGACGAGGTGATCTCGACGGTCATGTAATACAATCGATTTTTCAGAGGTTCTAAGCCAGCTTGGAAATTTGAGGACAGAGCCAAATCCCAATGACACTGTCTTCTGGGGATGGCAGAATGCCTGCAAAAGAAATTCAGAATCATGAGGAACCCATCATTTACCTTGGAGAGGATGGCACCATACAGCCAATAGAGCGCTGAGCTTGGAGCCAGGAAGACCTGGGTTCAGATTGAGCTTCTGATATTTACCTGCTTGGTGACCACGGGCAAGCATCTTAACCTCACAGCCTCAGTTTCCTTCTCTGTAAAATGAGGGGGTGGACAAAGTGATCTTGCAGGTCCTTTACAGCTTAAATTCCATGATCTCTATGTACAGCATCACACTGCCTCTTTTGCTGCTGTTAGGAGGCTAAATTACATTAGGGTAACTGCTCTTTTAGAGAGGAAACATGGCATAGTGGACAAAAAGCTGCAGTTGGATTTAAAAGTTCTGAGTTCAAATCCTCCTGCCACTGACAGGAGGATTTAACTGTTTAACTGCAGGCAAGTCACTTAACAACTCTGGGGCCCAGGTGAGTCACTTGTAAAATGAGGGGAAAGGAGGTAGACTATGTGACCACTGAAGTCTCTTTCAGCTCTAAATCTATTTATTTGACTATTTTTATAGATCCAGGAAATCAAGCTAATTTAACAAACATTTTTTAAGTACCTAAGTAGGATCCTAGCATGGGTATTGAATATCAAAGGAACTGCTAAGGCAGGAATTCTTTTCCTTCTTTCTTTCTTTCTTTCTTTTTCTTTCTTTCTTTCTTTCTTTCTTTCTTTCTTTCTTTCTTTCTTTCTTTCTTTCTCTCTCTCTCTCTCTCTCTCTCTCTCTCTCTCTCTCTCTCTCTCTCTCCTTCCTTCCTTCCTTCCTTCCTTCCTTCCTTCCTTCCTTCCTTCCTTCCTTCCTTCCTTCCTTCCTTCCTTCCTTCCTTCCTTCCTCCCCCCTCTCTCTCCCCATCTGTCCACACTCTGACAATCTGATGAAAATTATGGACCCCTTCTCAGGATCATTTTTTTTCAATAATTGAAGGAAATGCTAAATTTCAGTAAGAAGTTAGTGAGGATAAAGAAGGACATGTTTCCCAAACAAATTCATAATCCCCCTGAAATCTTTCCACAGACCCCTCTTCTAGGCCTAGAGTCTTGACTAACCCAATGTTCCTATCTAAAATGTACCCATTTTAATATTTCTACCCTTGCTTCCAAATCTGGTGGGATTTGAGTGGCCATGGAGGCAATGTGATGCCGTGGGTCTGGAGTTGAACAACTTGGCTTTGAACCAAGCTTGTCTGCTTGTTCTCTTTGTGTCTAGTGACTTGACCAATGAGCTAATCAATCACTCGACTCCTTTGAACCTTCGTTTCCTCCTCTATAACATGAGGACCTTGGTCTAGAGGGGGGCTAAGGACCCTGTCAGATTTAAATCTGTGATCCCATGGCAGATAACAACATGCCCCATTCCCACTTCCCTAGCAACCCCAACTCCTGGGTTTTGAGGCTGTCTCTGAGAGGAGCTCCTGCTTGCCAAGTGTTCAGGGTCACTTCCTATGGTGCTTTGGTAGAGACACCATGATGTCCTCATCTGTCTTGACCCAAGTGAAGCTAGGAATCTCAATTGTTTTCAAGACTGGAAGAGATCTTAGGGACCATTTATTCCAACTTATATTACTTCTGGTATCTCCTTTATAAAATTTCCCCCAAATGGCCATCCACTCTCTATATTCTTGTCTCTAGGAAGGGAAAGTCTCTCCCTACTGAGAGGCCCCTTCCTCTTTGAGATCACACTAGTCCTTAGGACATTTGTCCTTCTTTCAAGCCTGTTTGCCTCTTTGGAACATCCATCTGTTCCTGAGGTGGTGGGGACAGGGGAAGCTATTTTTTTATGTCTCCCATTCCAAACACAGAATTCATGAAAACAAGAAAAGAAGGGAATATTCCTGAAACAAATAATTCAAAAATTGCCAGAAACTTAAGGAATGGATTGTTTTCTGCTCCTCCCTTCCTCCCTCCATTATTTCACTCCTTTTTCTCCCTTCCTGCCTCTCCTTTTTGCTTTCTAACGCAGGGGAAATTTCATTCAAAGACTATAAGTTTGGAATAATGTCAGGTGAGGGAATAGCCTGACTTGGTCCTGTCAGGAATAAAAAATAGAGCTTGTCTAGTTTTCCAGTAGCATTTCTAATCAGAAGCACGTGTCTGAAGGCAAATTTTCCCTCTATCATATTGATGCTGAAAAGCAGGAAGTGAGCCTTCCATCCATTTCCTTAGCAGCCTTTTTGAAGCTTCTTACCAGATGATGGGGAGATTCAAATCAGCCTCCCCTCCCCCTCCACCTCCCCCACCACTTCATCTAATCAGATGGATTTGCCAGAAGAGAGTGGAGGTATTAATCTGAGGGATGTACCTTCAGCCATTTGAGGGCCCTTGGTGAACGGGGTCCTACGTATATGTGTGTATACATGTATACAACTGTATGCATGTGTTTATGTTCATAGGATTGAAGATATAGGAGGGGAAGGGACTTCATACGGCAGTCAGGTCAACCCCATTCATTTTACAGATAAGGAAACTGAGCCCCTGAGGGGCTATTAAGTGATGTGCCCAAAGT